GTCAGCCTCTCTGCTCCTATGATGCTGCTTGGCCTGCTGTGTTCATCCAGCCCTGCACCTTGTTGTCTCTACAGAATGCTATTCATTGCAATTGTGCACTCAAAAATGATTGAAAGGAAAAACCCTGTGGATGTTGGAAGTCTGGAGTGAAAATAAGAAGAGTTATAAAAACTCAAATCTGACAGTATCTGTAGAGAAAGAGTTAAGGTTTTGAGTCCAGTATAACTCTACTCATAACTTCATCTACGTCTGGACAAATTGAAATGTTAGCTCTGTCTCACTCTTTCCACAAATGCTGTCAGACCTGCTGAGTTTTTTTTAGCGCTTTCTATTTTTATTTGCAAAAAATCAAACTCTCCTGACCGTGGCTTTGGGCAGACACTGCAATCTCTACTTTACAGCTGCTTTGGGCATTGGTTGAACATCTCTGCCATTTATTTTAGTTCAGCTTTTGGTCAAGTTTGTGACCTCTTCAACGTGTCAAATCTGTAAAGTTTGTTGAATTTTACAGTAATTCATGATTTTTAGAACCACTAGTAGCAATTCACATGTGGTTACATCACCACTTTACTTACTATATTACCACAGTTTGTCATCAGACAGAATACATGAAATTATAAGCTTTCATGTTGCAAATAACTACATTGCGGCTAAGTTGTTGGACTATGTTACAACAGTTACAATTTTACTTTCATTTTGTTTTACAGTCAGGAAGTGTGTGATCCTGAGATTGGAGGTCGTATGATCATGTGTCCCCAGTGTGACCGAGATTGTACTTATTGGAGACTCAATGTTACATGTGAATCATCAAGGGTAAGTGCACCGAAGTGTATATATTATATACGGTCACACAGCACAAAAGAGGCCCTTTGGCCCATCAGGTCTGTGCCAACCTATCTACACTAATCCCACTTTCCAGCACATGTCCCATGGTCTTGAATGTTATGACATTTCAAGTCTTCATCACATACATTTTAAAGCTTGTGTTGTTTCCTGGCTCTACCATCCTCTCAGACCCCCCACCACCCTGTAGATTTTGCTTCAGAGTGACGATAACACATGACCTGTCCTGGACTTCCCATGTAAATGCAACAGTCAGGCAGTTACAACAACGCCCCTTCTTCCTCAGGCAGCTCAGGAAATTTGTCATGCCCATAAGGTCCCTCACCAACTTCTACAGATGCACCATTGAAAGCATACTGTCTGGGTGCATAACGGCCTGGTATGGCAACTGCTCTGCCCAGGATTGTAAGAAACTACAGAAGGTGGTGTGCACAGCCCAGACCATCACGGAAGCCAACCTTCCATCCATGGACTCTATTTACACGGCTCGCTGCTACAGAAAGGCGGACAACATCATCAAAGACCCATGCACCCATCTCCTACAATCTCTTCCATCAAGACAAAAGGTATAGAAGCCTGGACACATGCACAAGCAGGTTCAGGAACAGCTTCTTTCTGTCTGTTAGGACTCTAACCTCAAATAATGTAACCTGCACGCCTCTAAGTCTTTTTGAACTGTACACCCTTTGCTTGCTGTGATCTGCCTGTTCTGCTCGTGAACAAAGCTTTTCACTGTATTTCAGTACACGTGACAATAAAATCAATCAATCAATCAAATTTCCTCTAAACCTCCTGCCCTTCGCCTTAACATTGTGTCTCCTTGTCATTGACCCTTCAACTAAGGGGAACAGCTGCTTCCTGTCTAACCTGTTAATGCCCCTCATAATCTTGTACATCTTTATCAGAACTCCCCTCAACCTTCTCTGCTCTAAAGAAAATAACATAAGCCTATCCAGCCCCTCTTTATTGCTGAAATGCCCTCAGGTAATATCACATAGAATTGCTACAGTGTGGTAACAGGCCCTTTGGCCCAACAAGTCCACACTGACCCTTGGAGCATCCCACCCAGACCCATCCCCTTTAACCCACATAAGCTACACATCCTTGAATACTACAGGACAATTTAGCATGGCCAATCCACCTAGCCTTCATATCTTTGGACTGTGGGAGGAAACCCACACAGACATGTAGGAGAATGTGCAAACTCCAAACAACAGTCACCCAAGGGTGGAATAGAACCTGGGTCCCTGGTGCTGTGAGGCAGCAGTGCTAACCACTTAGCCACCTTGCCACCCCAAATAGCCTCATGAATCTTCTCTGCATCCCTTCCAGTGCAAATTACATCCTTCTAACAGTGTGACAACCAGAACTGCAACATAACCAACATTTACGTATAATTCTTAAAATGACCAATGCTCCAAATTTAATTACAGTATAAAGAAAAGTCATTAACAGATTCAAAACATTAACTGTTTCTTTCTTTGTGGATGCTGCCAGACCTGCTGAGCTTTGTACACCATCCTCTGTGTTTGTCTCAAATTTTCAGCATCCACAGTATTTTGCTTTTAATTACTGTGTGGTTCTTATTGCAAGATAGTTTTGGGTACCTGAAATGAAAAAAAATCAATAAATAAATTATGATTCATCCAGAACAGCAACTGAATTTTATTCCTTGGTAGATTTATGAATGAATATACAAATTAGGAGGTTTATTGCAAAGAGGAACGGAGAGAAAAATGTTTTTCTTTTGCTTAATACATCTGAAAAGTATAACGTACATATGTTGTTACTCGTTCTCATAATATTTCGGTCCAATTAGGTTCCGGGTGTCATGCAAATTAAATGCTTCAAAACAGAATTGTTGAAAGTATTTGAATTATAAAATCTTAAGAAAAAGGAGCAAGAGAAGGAAATTCAGCCTGTTGAACCTGCTGCACCATATGAAAAGATTCTGGTTGATCTGATTGTGGCTTTAACTCCAGTTTCCTTTTTGTCACCTTAACCTTTGACTCCCTTAAAGATTGATAATCTGTCCAAATCAGTCTTGACTCTATTCAAATACCCAATTTCTATTGCTTTCTCAGGAAGGGAATTCTGAGGAATAATAATCATTGGAGAATAAATTCCTCCTTGTCTTTGCCTTAAATGGGAGTCCTCTTAGTTTTAGTTTCTTTCCCCTCGTCTAGATTCCCTCAGGAAGGGAAACACCCACTCAGCATCTACCTTGTCAACCACCACACCAGTCCCATCTTGGCATCTTGTATGTTTTAATAAAATGTACCTTTCAAACTCCTAAACTCCAATTAGTGTATGCCCACACCAATCAAGTTTTCCACTTAATACAAACCTCTAATTTCAGAAATTAGCCTAATGGACTTTCTCTGAATTGCTTCCAGTGCAAGTCTGTTCCTCATTTATTCAGGCCACCAAACTCTAGATTGCACTTTTCACCAATGCTTTTCAAAAAAAAATCCTTCTTACTTTTATGCTCCATTCCCCTTGAAATAAAGATCAGCATTCCATTTGTTTTCCCAATTACTTGGCTCAATTAGAGACACCCAGATTCCTCCTTACTGCAGCATTCTGCAGTCTTTTGCCATTGAAATAATATTCTGCTTTTCCATTCTTCTCGCGTTAGTGGAAAACTTCACATTTTTGCAAATGATACTTCATCTGCTACATTTTTTGCCACTTATTTAACCTATCTGTGTCACTTTGCAACTTTCTTTCTTATCTATATATGTTTCCTCTGCAAATTTCACTGTAATGTAGTTGGTCACTTCATCTAAGTCATTAACATAGGCCGTAAATAGCATTTAAATAGGACCCTAAATGCTCCGTTTGATGTTCTACTAGTTGCAGTTTGCCCATCTGAAAATTACCAATTTATTCTGACTCTGTTTTCTTTTAGTCACCCAATCCCCAATGGTAGTATATCACCCTCAACACTATGTGCTCTTGCGATGAGAAACTATTTGTGTGGCACTTGGCAAATGCCTTTTAACAATCCTAATGCACCACATCTACTCTATTTTAAAAATCTAGAAAAAAAATTCTATCACAGAATCCATACAGTGTGGAAGCAGGCCATTCAGTCCACACCAACTCTTCGAAGAGGATGCCACCCACCCACCTTATCCCTATAACCCTGCATTTCCCATGGCTAACTCACCTCTAACACTATGGGCAAGTTAACTTGGCCAATCCATCTAACCTGTACATCTGTGGACTGTGGGAGGAAACCATAGCACGCAGAGGAAACCCATGCAGACACGGGGAGAATGTGCAAACTCTACACAGACAGTCGCCCAAGGATAGAATTGAACTTGGGTCCCTGGCATTGTGAGACAGCAGTTTTAACCACCGAGCCACCGGACTTTAAATGGGGATCAAATTCTGCAGACGGGTTCCAAGTAGAGCTATAGAATGGGCGGTGACCTCTGAGATCATCTCTTTTAGTAGACATTACAGGGAAATTATGTCTCCGAGTCAAACCCAGGAGGGATAAAGTGCAGTGTTAAAAATTAGATTTGCATGCCTGTGAGTCATTGATACTTTCAGTCGATTGCAACTATCCCTTAAAGCAATCTTTTGTAGATTGAGTCACCTTTGCAAACTTTTCATTTTGCAGGAAGTGCAAAAATAAAAACACTTATAATTGTACCTTAATTTCAATTTCAAAATATAGTCAATGGAAATTGAGTACAATGTAATTAGATTTTCACTTAAATTCCCTATCTCTGACATTCCCTTCCATTATCTGTTCTTTTGAGAAGTGCAAGCTCATAATTTGTGCCAAATGTTGAGCTTTGTCAAAACCCAGTGTATTCACCTTTATAAATGCCAATAATTCCATATTGTGTTGGGTAATGTGTGAAATTAAATATGGCATTACACATTCTGCATAAAAATGAAATACTTTATAAGAATAGCACTAAATATTTAAAGTCCATTTCATATTTGGCATTATGTTGTTCAGAGGTTACTTATGTTTTTATGCATCTTCCACAGAAATTATCTATATTTGACAACTATGGCACTCTAGCCTACGCAGTGTTTATGGGAATTTGGGGTAAGTAAATGGCAGCTGTTTTGGTTTCAGAACAGTTATTATGTTTACCTTGTTTCTGATTGTTGCTTTCTGCAAAATGAAACACTAAAAAGATCTGTTAACCAACTCCTTAGACAAGCATCCGCCACTGACACAGTAGCAACAGTGTGTACCATCCACAAGGTGCACTGCAGAAATTCACCAGAGATTCGCAGACAGCACCTTCCAAACCCAAGACCACTTCCATCTCGAAGCACAAGGGCAGTGGATACATGGGAACACCACCACCTTCGAGTTCCCCTCCAAGCCAGCCACCATCCTGACTTGGAAATATATCGCTGTTCCTTCACTGTCGCTGGGTCAAAATCCTGGAATTTCCTCCCTAAGGGCATTGTGGGTCAACCCACAGCAGATGGACTGCAGCGGTTCAAGAAGGCAGCTCACCACCACTTTCCCAAGGGCAGCTAGGGACAGGCAATAAATGCTGGCCCAGCCAGCAATGCCCATTTCTCAGAAATGAATACAATTTGAAACAATAATGGGCTGGAAGGGAGAAAGTACAGCCGGCATAGAAGAACCCTGAAAAATGTTTTTGCAACCCTGTCTTTCTCCCACTCCCTCCCAACGCAACTATGCAGTGCTGTAGGAAATGGTGATGTTCCATTTCGCAGTATCAAGCCACCTGGCTAATCACTTTGCTGCTATATATTCCTGAAAGAGTGCAGCAAATCCATATTCTATTTTGTTCACTCATCTGTCCTAGAAGGTTTATTGGAAACAACCATCTGGTGGTATGTAACTAAGCAAATGATATGGATCCCATTTAGTCCCATAATCCCAATCCATCACAAATAATCTGCCTAAACTGAACTAGATTCTAATAAGGTTAAATGGCAGAGAAAGATCATTATGAAAATTGTCATCATTTTACAACAGTATTTCACTCTTGAGCTGTGAACTATTTTTGCAATGCAGCATTAATAGCTGCTTCTTGTGACGCAATAATATTCAGTTTATTCAAAATCACAGCAAGTAACCTTCCAAACAATTTAGCTTTGCTGCTGGATTTCATTTCCATTTGACTTGTTTCTCAGTGAAATCCTACAATTATTCATTCACTGATGTTCAGGAACTATTATAACACCACATGATATTTGGCAGTGACTGTGTTTTTGGAGTTCTGGAAACGCCGTCAGGCAACATTGGAGTATGAGTGGGACACCGTGGAACTGGAGCAGGAAGAACCACGACGACCAGAATATGAAGCAAAATGTACTATTCCGAAAAAAAATCCAATCACACAGGTAAATGAGTGGATTGAGTATGGCTGTCAATACTTGTTAAAATGCATACAAGGTGACTTGCTGACAAGGTTTTGCTTTCCCTTTTCGTTTAAGTTTATATCAGATGCACAAATCACACTGTAGGTTCACATAAAAATGAAAATCTCTGCTTTGTGGCTTGTTCAAAACCAGAAAGGAAAACTGAGAGATGGCACCGATATATTGTAGATTGAAGAAAATTCCAATCTCTGCAATCTTTTTTCCATCCAAACTTGGCAATGCAATCATGTTGAACAGAACAATTTACATTCTTTTGATTTTGCTTGTGGTAACTTGCACTGCATTTTTCAAGTTGCAGTTAGGTAAAAGAAGAGTCATTTTTATACAGTCAGTCCAAGTTTAGCGAGATCCATCCAAACCTGAAATACAGATCCATACCATTGACTCATCTTCAATGTGTAGAGCTGAGGCTTCAAATCGAGACTCTCATCTGAGTGACAGGCTGGAAAGTTGCAGGTTTTTAACTTTATAAAACACTTGATAATAGTTATGATTTCTTTATTTACAGGAAGAAGAGTTGGTTCCTTACACAGCCTGTGGAAAATGTATGCGACTGGTTTGCGGTGGAAGCACAGTTCTTTTTTGGGTAGGTCCAGTGTTGATATTATTTATTACTTTGTTAATTTATTCCAAGGAGATGGGGATGGTTCAGTCAATGCAGTGCATGATTATTTTAAAAGGAAAATACTTGGAAATTGCCCCTGAAGGAAGTGGGTGATGTAGCCACAAAATTCAGGATTTTTCATTGAGGAAAATAGGAAACAGTTGAGCATGTTTGCTACAGTGTGCCAAAACTTAATTTGAGCAATGCCAAGAGTGTTAAAGAGCAGAAACTGATCAAAAGGCAGAGAGGAGAAAACCCATCATGGCTGGGCTTGTGAAAGCACTAATTCTTGAACAGAAGCCATATATATTTTAATAATCATTCTTTTGCGTGTATTTACTCCAAATTCTCAATAATGTTGTAGCAACAGTTACAACTGAGGTGAAGATTTTCAAGTTCTGTGAAATATCTTGGCATTCAATTGTTCAGTTGGCTAGATAGCTAGAATGATTGATGTAGAGATGGATATGGTTCTTAGGGTTAAAGGGATCAAAGGGTCGAGAAAGAAAGTGGGAACAAAATATTGAGTTGGATGATCAGCCATGATCATATTGAATGGTGGAGCCAGCTTGAAGGGCCGAATGGCCTATTCCTGCTCCTATTTTCTATGTTTCAATGGTTAGAGTATGCTTTGAGTACTGCCGACAGTGCACGTTCAATCACCATAACAGCTGAGATAGTAGGAACTGCCGATGCTGGAGAATCTGAGACAACAAGGTGTAGAGCTGGATGAACACAGCAGGCCAAGCAGGTGTCCTCTGATGCTGCTTGGCCTGTTGTGTTCATCCAGCTCTACACCTTGTTGTACCATAACAGCTGAGATAGTTCTTGAAGTCTACTTCATCATCTTTCCTCAAAGTGATATTGAAGCATGAGTTGTGATTAGCAACTCTGGAATGTTGAGGACACCCTGTACAGAAAGAGTGTGAGACAAGAAGATAAATATTTGAGTGAAAATGTTCCATATTTTCTTTCATCCTCTAAATAAGGGTAATGCACTCCTGGTTTGCAGAATCTTTTTTTTCCTCGCACAGCAATTCACTTTGACTGTTCATTTTTGTTTCACAGAAATAGGTAATGTTCCAAATACTCCAAATAGGTAATTAGACAATATTGGTATGAAAGAGGCAGATAGAAGAGACTGAAAGTAAAAGGGAAGAGACAGGAGAGAAAACGGAAGTAAGCATGAGAAGAAGGAAAGGAAACAAAGAAAAGTTCAAATCAGGAACAAGCCCTTCGACCCTTCAAGCTTGCACCAACACATGACACCTTTCTAAAGGCATATAAAGATGTCAGTGGGGCAGCAGAGTGGCTGAGTGGTTAGCACTGCTGCTTCACAGCACCAGGAACCTGGGTTCAATACCAGCATCAGGCAACTGTCTGTGTAGAGTTTGCATATTCTCCCCATTCCTGTGTGGGTTTCCTCCCACAGTCCAAAGATGTGCAGGTTAGGTGGATTCACCATGCTAAATTTCCCATTGTGTCCAGGAATGTGCAGTCTACGTAGATTAGCCATGGGAGATACAGGGTAGGTCTGAGTGGGATGTTCTTTGAGGGGGCAGTGTAGACTTGATGGGCTGAATGGCCTTCTTCTAACTTGTAGGGATTCTGCAATGAACTAAAAACCTTTTGCCTCCTTGGAGGAGGAGCAGAAACATCACTCTGTTGTAGTGAATGTAAATTTTGACAAGCTGCATTTACGTGTGTGTGTGTTTGTGTGTGTGTGTGAATGTGTGCACATATCATTGATTGTCCAACAATAATTTGTTTCAACTGAGAATTTGCACATTTCACTATGTTGGAATCCTGTGATATGGCATTGCCTTACTGCCACCCACTAGCTGTGCAATGAAGTTGTGTGCTATCTTCCCATGACCACACGTCAACATCAGTATTAGGGTTCTGATCTGACGTTACATAACCAAATTTTGAACATTGTGAATGTATAATCATAGTGCTGCCTACAAAGAAGAATTAAAGATTGTCAGTGAGGGCTTTAGAGGGGGAAGGATAAGAGCATAAAATGGGGTAAGAAGCAAGTTGTAAAAAAAGAAAGTAAAATCAGAACAGGAAAATTAGAAGCAAGAAGGACATGGTTAATATTTGACAGAAATAAAGAATATTAAAATTATTTGGAAGGAAAGAAATTAAAGATTGAGCAATTTTGAGATACTAAGTGACTTGAAAGTTAAATAAAAAGTGAGGAATCAAAATGTTGTTTTGCTGATGCTAGGTAATCACCTTATGGTCATTCAATAAATGTGTGCCAAGAGATGCAAAACTACTGGTGTTCTTGGCGCTCTCCTTTTATTTAACCCACTATCTGTTCATTGAATTTGTATTCTTGAGGTAGTCTGTTCTTGTCTTTGCTGCATCTCTGTAAACTGCAAGTGCATTATTGGAGAGAGTTTTTCTTTTCTGTCTATAAAACAGAAATATATATTGTTTAAAAGTTAAAAATATCAAGAATGTCTGTTAAATTTAGTGGATTTTAAATTAATTTTCTTTGGATTTCACGATACTTAAATGCTTTCTCTCATATTCTTCCAGATCTCATTAATTATTGCCACAGTAATTGCTATTATTGTCTATCGGTTGGCTGCCTTTTTTAACTTCTCTGCCAAGCTGCCAGAAGCAATAGATGAAAATCTGGAACCCCTCAAAGACTACCTGACCCCACAGATGGCGACTTCTGTAACAGCATCTCTCATTAACTTTTTGTTCATTATGATTTTGAATATTCTTTATGAAAAAGTGGCAATATGGATCACGGACTTTGGTAAGTTCACTTTTCAATGTCAGAGTGGATCAAAATGTGAAGTGTTTTAAATGTCAGGAAAGGTGACAGCTTAGTGGTTTTGTCACTAGACTATTAATACAGAGATCCAGGTAAATGATCTAAGGACCTGAGTTCAAACCCTGCCAAAGCTGATGATGTATTGATGTCTGGAATTAAGAATCTACTAATGACCATGAAATCTATTGGTTTCACTAATGCCCTTTAAGGAAGGAAACTGCTGTTGTTACATGGTCTGACCTACATGTGACTTTGGACTCACAGCAATGTGGTTGACTCTTATTTGCCATCTGTATAATTAGAAATGGGCAATAAATTCTGGCCAGTGATGTCACATCCTGTGAATGACAAAAAAAATCCTCGGAGAAATCCATCTTGTGATTGATAATGTCAGTAGTTTAAAAACGGACTCCTTATTAAATGCTTAAATTAATCAATAATATCCTAACCTTGTGCATATATTGCAGTAACTAAACATGTGCCATTCAAGACACAATGCTCCTGGACTCAATTTGCGTGATACTGTAAACAAAATTGTATGTCTACATCCTCATTACAATGGGATATCAAACTTGGTCCCGTTGAATATCCGCTTGACTTTGTTAGTAGCTTTTTGTCCCAGAAGGCGCTGAGTTCAGGCCCCTCATCAGAATGTTTGTGGAGGATGTAGTCAGGCACTTCAGAGCATTACTGAATTTCTGGATTGCCATACAGATGCATGTTATTGCATGTTAAAAGTTGCAATGGGAACGTGATGAGTTTGACACTGTGGAAGATTACAAACAGATTTGCTGATCATCTGAACTCTTCTCTCTTTTACATTATTTTCTCGTACAAAAGTTATATATGTTTTAAGTTTAGTTATTTCTGATTGAATTCCTCCCTTTTTACACAGAGCTTCCAAGAACACAGACAGACTATGAAAACAGTCTAACTGTGAAGATGTTTCTCTTCCAATTTGTCAACTACTATTCCTCTTGCTTCTACATTGCTTTCTTCAAAGGCAAGATTGTGGGTTATCCTGGAGGTCCAGTTTACTGGTTGGGGCGATTCAGAAATGAAGAGGTACTGTGAATAAACACACAAAATGTTTAATTAGCTTGCCAATCACACATTTAATATTTACATTTTTATAGTTGTGTTATGTGACTATGGTTTTGTTACTGAACTAGCAATCTAAAGGCATGCCTGGTTGAGGCAGGTAATCGCAAAACATTTACAGTGTACTTGGATGAACGTTTGAAATGTTATAACATTCAAGGCTGAGGGCCTAGCACCAGAAAGTGGGACTGGTATAGATTTATGTTGCATTGGCAATACAGACTTGATGGGCTGAAGAGTCTCCTCTGTACTGTATGATTCAATGATTCTATGATTCAATGTTTGTACTCAGTTACCACTTCTCGAATTCCTCTCTAGCTGTCATTTCTTTACTCTGGCAAACTAGGTGGGAATTCATCATTTGGTACCCTTGTCCATAGCCATATATACCCATAATTATCGAGTCCCTTCCTAGGACTATATTTCTGTCTCGTCCCATTGCAGTCCATCTGGTGCTATTGGGAATATTTTCCTATTGTCTTTGAGTTGTCACAACCCCCTCAACTTAGTGTCTTCGACTGCATGAAGCATTATTATCTTAAACTTGGGTCATTTATTTGTAACAGCATTTTGTTTGAACTTAAATTTCTCCAGCAATTTCTGTTTTTGTTTCTGATTTCCAGCTTCTGCAGTTCTTTGATTTTTATTAAAGGTTAACTTCTGTTTGTGAAATTTATAGTGTGACCCAGGAGGCTGCCTTATAGAGCTGTCAACTCAGCTGCTGATTATAATGGGAGGAAAAGCAATATGGAACAACGTTCAAGAAGTTCTCATTCCGTAAGTTAATGAATTCCCAAGTGTAAAAGATTCTAGAAATTTACAAGGTAATACACTATAACAACAATGTCAACTTATATTTATTTTATGCCTTTAATGTGATAGAATCTCCTAAGGAATTTCACAGGAGCATCATAAAGCAATATAGAACAGTAAGATGTATAAGATGTTAGATCAAATGACCAAACGTGCTCTTGAGGTAGGTTTAAGAAATATCTTAAAAGGAGAAATGTGAACTAGAGGGGAGGGAAGAGTATTCTAGAGCTTAGAGGTTAAGCATCTCAAGGCACAAGACCATGAGACACCAGAGTAGAAGCAGGCCATTTCGCCCATCAGATCTGTTCTGCCGTTCAATGAGATTACGGCTGATTTGATAATCCTCCACTCTGCTTTCTTGCCTTTCCCCTATAACTCTTGATTTCTGATTTAAAGATCTGTCTCAGTGTTGAATATACTTAACAACCCATCTACAACAGCCTGTCTACAGTAAAGGATTCCATGGATTCACTACCCCCTGAGAGAAGAAATTCCTCTTCATCTCTGTCATAAATGTGCAACCCATACTCTTGAGATTATGGCCTCTGGTCTTAGATTCTCCGAGAACAGGAGACAACTTGGTCACCAATGAGTTGGGATGCTCAAGGGTACGGAGTAAAGAGAAATGCAAATATTTCAGGGGTTGTAGAGCTGAAGGAGATTGTATAGATATAGAGGGTCAGGGCCATGGAGGGAATTGAAAGTATTAGTGCGACTTTTAAAATTAGTGTGTGTTTGTCCAGGAACTACCATAGGTCACCAAGGCAAGAAATAGCAATCTGTTTTAACTCTCATTACTAAAAAAAAGTGGACGAATGGATAAGATTAAAAGTTTTAATCATTGAAGGTATGTATGATTCATTATTTGCATGTATTTCATGACATTCCACCTTACTCTGGGAGTGTATTCACCTGCTGCAAATCCTATACTATAGTCCATTTTGGATTTTCCACTAATGCTCCTTGCTCTCGGACTCCTGGTCTCCACTCCCTGTGAATGCCCAATATCAGTACCATATAGAACACCAAAATCAAACTTGCCCATCACTAGGTGAAACAATGATTAATGAATGAGTCTCACATCTGATCATGGACATGATTTGAATAATTTGTAGGAATATGAAGTAGTTCATCTTTTATTGTGAGTGTGAACGGCAGTTAGTTCTGTTATTAAGTTCAGAGTTGGTTTCCCCAATTTGTTAACAAATTTAAGCAATGATTCACTGGTGCATTCCTGAGTAGAAGGCTCACAGGTTTGATGACGAGTCCATGTTGAGCTCACTGAATTTTTTCTGTTTCGGTAAACTGGCTTAATTTGCCTCAGGACATTGGCTTAGACAGGGAAAATTATTGAGTAAAGGCAGGAGTCTGTTTGATTGTCTCTTCAACAATAGTCAGAAAGTTTGGCTACGTTCATTGCTGTGTCGTGCACATAAATAGCAGTATCAAGAAGATATCCAATACCGATGCAACTAATCATAGAATCCCTACAGTGTGGAAGCGGGTTGTTCAGCCCAGCGAGTCCGCACCAACTTTCTGAAGAGCATCCTACACAGACCCAACCCCTCCACCCTATCCTTGTAACTCTGCATTTCCCATGGTTAATCCACCTAGCCTGCTCATCCCTGGACACTATGGGGCAATTTAGCATGGCCACTCCACCTAACCTGCACGTCTTCGGACTGTGGGAAGAAACCGGAGCACCCGGTGGAAACCTGCACAGGCACGGGGAGAATGTGCACACTCCATATAGACAGTTGCCTGAGGCTGAAATCAAACCCAGGACCCTGGCACTGTGAAGCAGCAGTGTTAACTGCTGAGCCACCAAGCTGCCCTTAAATGAGTTAGATGCAATAAAGAACAGCAACATTGAGAATTGCCGGAAACAGCAACAAGAGTGGGGGGGGGGGGGGGGGGGGGGG